ACCAAAACACATCTGACCAGATATTTGCCCTACGCCAAATTATTGAAAAATCATGGGATTTCGCCCACCCTGTGGATATGTACTTTGTTCACGTAGAAAAAGCCCATGGCCGGATCCCGCGCAACAGTCCGTTGGCATGCCTGCGAACGTATGGGATCGATGGCTAATTCCTACGAGCCATCCAATCACTATATGCTAATAGGAGGTGCTGCGTGAGTGCAGATGGCGTTATGTCGAAGCCTTTTAAGCGTTGGAGAAGCCAAGTCGACGAGTGTATCGGCATAGATGTGTAGACAGAATACATATGAGATATGCGAACATATGGGATCGATGGCCAGTTGCTATGAGCCATCCAATTACTATCGAAATCTTTCAGCGTCAGCATCGGTCTCCTCCAAGGCTGCGTTCTCTCTCCCCCTCCTCCTGTCTGTGTTGCACACGGATAAAATAGTCAGGCGCAGACAAGACAACGACTGCATCAATGTAGGAGGTGTCGAGACGTGAGGGTGGCTGCCTGTTTGTTTTGTTGGTATTTTTTAATACTTACCTACGACGACGTCTAAAAAGGTTATCGGCCGAGTGCGACGTGGCCGGCATGCGTGTGAATGCATCTAAAACGAAAAGCCTGGTGCTTTCTCGTTCTCCTCCCCGTTCCTCTCTTCAGATTAAAAGAGAAGCAGTGGAGCAGGTAGAGAAGTTCAAGTACCTCGGAGTCGTATTTGCTAGTAATGGAAAATTTGAGGAAGAGATCGACCGGCTGATTAGAGTAGCCAGTAGCGTTCGGCGTGAATTTACTCGAACTGTTGTTACTGAAGTAGAGCTGAGTTTAAAGACTAAAATTTCAGTATTCAAAGCGATCTTCATCCCCATGATTACCTCGGTCATTAGAGGTGAACTATGACTGATAAAATCTGATCCCGGATAGATGAGCCTTGGTGTACAGCCTTTGCTTCCCCAGGTTGAGAAATCACAGCTAAAATGGTTTGGACATGTGTCGCTAATGCCTCCAGAAAGGAAGAGGAAGCAACTACCGCTTGCTCAGCCACCAGGCGGAAGACGAAAGAGATGGCCCAGATTAAGCTTGTGCAATTGCATTTAAGGAGTCTTCCCTCGACTCCGGTTATCTTTTGCCGAAACGCAGACGCTGACGCAGGATTGAGAACGTTGGAAGTACAGTCTGTTCTCTCTGACTCGCAGCTCGAAAGAAGAAACGACCATGGAAGATGAAAATGAAGATTTTTCGGGGCTATAGTTGAAATAAAGTAAGTCCATGTTGGCTAGAAGCTCCGTTTCTGCAACAGGCTTCCGTATCGATAGAATGCTGACCAAGGACAGGTATGAATTTGCAGGAACCTTAGTCGTAACGCTGCTTGCGTTTCTCCAGGGTTTCCTAGGCACTAGTGCATAATGCTTTTTACTTATAATCTATCAAAATCCAGCTCTCGACCGTAACAGCGCTAGTCATTTTGTCGTTCAGATTCACGTTCTGAAAGCCAGCTACTCTGGAGTTCTGAAAATTTGCGCAGTCTTGCACACTGTTGGAAGATTGATTGAATCAATAGCACAACAGCAATTCTGTCCTTTTGATCGGGACTGTCAACACTGCTTAATGATTCGCTGAAATGAGAAAAGTGTTGGATCACACGTGCCTCACAAGGTACCTTGCCTGGTTTATTCAAATGGTCCTTCTAATAATCAATCGCTAACCATTTGGCGATTTCTACGTTTGCAATTGATCTCAGTGGCTTTCGCGTGCATGAGGTTCGGCGTTTCAATTTGTGGATCTGAGTTCGAAATGGTAGCGGTGTCCTCCAACTTTTGGAATAACGCTGCAGTGATAAATTTTAAAGACAATTCTAATCACCGCTGTGAAATTTCAACAGTTGATATACACGCGCTCTCGTTAAGCCGATTGATCAGTGCTCTATCAAGTCTATTGCGTCGGCCAAAAAGTGTTTGGTCGCTCGACATTCCGGCCTTCTATTGTTGCATCAATCAATCAAAAGATTATATTGCTTAAATTACCAGAAATAGCGCGTAAAATTAGCAACGGCAACTTTAACACTTAAGTAATCACTCACCCATAGGCATAACAATATACAAACAATGCACAAACAAAACGTAGAGCAATGAGAAAAGGAAGAAAAAATAATGAAGGACATGGATTGATGGATAAAGAGTTAATGCAGATGAATATCTAACTGTATGGGTTAACATGAGAAGATCGATTCGAAAAGTTTATGCTTTGCCCGTTTTTCGTCCTAGAGAGTCTGAGCCAGCTGGGGATCACAGATTTCCTGTATGCCTCAATCCTCGCATAGATGGCGACAGATTGGGACCTTGTAAAATGAGATCTTGAAGTGCATTTTGAAAGAACCTAGTACATGGATGAAACGGATTAGTATTGCAAGCATTACAATGCACTTCTCAATCTGACCTGTAACGACATTCAAAAACTTTTCGCAGGAAAGATGGCCTGCTTTTCCAACAAATTTCAGAGTTGATCGAAATTTGCGTAGGTCTAATATATGAAGGAAGAAGAATGGCTAAAAATGTATAATTAGAGGAAGTATTCAGATTGTAATAATCAGTTCCTCTACTCCTTAAGGCGTTTGTAATGAAGTTAAAAGCAGTTGCGTCATCGTATTTTGATGAATACCTTATCAGCTTGCTATTTAGATGCATGCATTCGTTTCTGGTAGCAACAAGGTAGTTTATGGTGAGAACCATGTTTATCCTTTAATTCTGCAGTGAATTAAAGGTAACGAAGCAGTGGGCTAATCCATTACAGGAACGCTTGTTGAACCGGAGAAAATATTCTTCTACTTTGCAATGATCAATGAGTAAACAATTTTTTAGTGATCAGTCCTGTACGGAAGTGACTGCACAAGAATTAATCATCTGCTGAAGTAAATGCACATAGCCTTAGCATCGGCATGCTATTGCATTCACTTTCAGAGTTGACCTTCAGAGCATGCGAGTAAGAAGAGTGGAGGCAAGGCCAATCCTTGCAAAATTCCCAAGTTGTTTGGTAGAATAGAAGAGTTGCGCTCGTTCTACAAACTGAATGCGGTCATAGCGATGGATGTTTAACCAACGTAAACGTTTGGATCAATGCCAAGAGACGACGTGGCGTTAAATGCACTATTGTAACCCAGAAATAGGCAACGGGCTATGCAACCGCCCTTGTCGAAACCTTCGATAGCAGTATTTGTAAAATTTGTCAAGACCAACACAGCTTCTGTCCTCTTTTCATGGAACCTGCAGGAATCAGCCAGTAAATCCGCTGACTTCTTAAATCGTGAATACGGTAAAGTTTCCATGCACTTACAACGAACAACAATTGCAGCAATCGGACGGAATTCCTTTGCGACAACAGACGTAGGTTTTCGGACACGGGATTGATCGCTACGCACCAAAATTTCGAAATATTTCCGGTATTAGGGCTGTAATTGAAAATACCAGCGACCAGATTAAATAACTCAACGCACATTCCTTGAGGATGAACGCATCCACGTCATCGAAACCTGCAGCTACGCAGTTGCGTAATCCAGAAAAACAGTTATGTATTTCGGCGTCCGTTAGGATTGCTGATTGAAGCTCAGAGTTGTTATTGTAAGCAGAAACAACGAACTTTCGCGATATGCCGTTGATTGGTAGTTCTGCCTAAAGAGAGCGGTTGTTTAATTCTTCCGGGTCTGAAGTGCAGTTTTTGATTTCAATTCACTGCTGCATAGCTTTATGAATATAGTGGTTAATCCAGTCAGAACTGCTGAAAGGCACCTCCTAAACCTATAAGTGCAAAATTCCATCATTTATTTCTGTAAGTCTGGGGCACCTTCTTGTATGGCACCAAAGGAAGAACGTTATCATTTCTTCGTTGTACAACAGGACAAAGCAGCTGCAGAGCAAGATTTCTTTATCTCTGATGATAATTCCCGGCAGCGCGTTCGCCAACGTGCTGCTGACAAAATTGAAAGTACTTTTCGTCAGGTGTCGCCAGTCCCTCGGCAAGAGAGGCAATTCTGGAGATAAAGTTCATTTCAGAAATACACGAAGAATTGATCCTGTCGCTGCACGCAGTTCATGAGCCGGACAGCTTTCCTTCTGACTATCAAGGGCAGTAGCGTTCCGGACTTGCTGCTCAGCGTATTACAAGATTTGCACGACGGCAGCAGTACACGTATACTTCCACCTGCTCAGCACTCCCAAAAGAGTTCCACATGTCATCAAGAGTTAGGCAGGAGCATATCCGCTATGCTTTCGTTAGCTAAGCCATCGACTGAATTGTTGAATGCATGTTGCTAGTGATGTCTGTACTTTGACATTCATGGATTACGCAGATGACATCAGACGTCTAGTCAGAGATATACTCGACTCTTCTTTCGGCCTTAAATGATCGATAAACTAAATGTGAAGAATTTTTGTTGAAGAAGAAAATAAAAAATTAGGGAACAACCACAGCAACCATGTTTGTTTAAAGATAATTTAAACTTTCTTACAGGCGCGGATCAGTTCAGCTACATTTGAAACTTGCAGAAGGCATCTGCACGCTGCCACATAACGAGTTTCGTCATCTTAGTCTCTCCCTTAATGCCAGTTCAAACATTTGGTAATCAATTACCATCTGGCAGCGCGCTAATAACGGTTATACCAATCTCGTATTCTCTCTGTGCAGTTGTGTGTAGTAGAGGCCCACATGCCGCCGAAAATGGATATCAGCATAACAAACCTTTCCACATAAGCTACGTTTCTTTATAACAAGTAGTGAAAAGCTGACGATGCAGTGGACAACACAGACTTCCAGAGGCTCTCTGCTAATGCAAACGACGGAAAGTAATCATCACAA